CCCGACTTAGTGACTGAACAACAACAACAATCTATTTTAATAATTTTTTGACCTGTTTTTCTCATTCTTCTTTGTTTTTCAGTTAGCTCAGCATCAGATTGCCAGCTTAATTCTGAACAGATGATACATGCAAAAGCACTTTGCAAACCCTGGGAAATTGCTAATCATACATAAATTATCATCGTTATTTCCATGAAAGTCGCTCAGTTGTGTCCAACTCCTTGTGACCCCATGGGCTGTAGCCTGCCAGGCTCCTCTGTCCATAGAATTCTTCAGGCAAGAATACTGGAGTGGGTAGCCATTCCCTACTCCAGGGGATCTTCCTGACCCAGGAATCGAACCGGAATCTCCTGCGTTGCTGATGGATTCTTTACCATCTGAGCTACCAGGGAAGAGGGAGATAAAAACGATGCACTCTATGGCTTTATTTTGTTCATATGCTTCCACCTTATAATCTTTAAGAATTCTGAGGAACCGTGTACCACTGCTCTGCTTATTAATTCACTGTCTCTCAGCTTCAAACATACTCATGTACTTGGCCGTCATGCTGGGTTAGCCGCTGCAAACCTTCTCCCTTGGCGAGTCACGCCTTGTGCGGCTCTGCCGGTAGAGGGCACTAGGGAGACGCCACACTTGGCCAGCGTCCTCTACGTCTCAGAATCATCCTGGGGTTTCTTCACCCCCACAGCTCAGCCTGTTTCAGCACAGTTGGCGCAAGTTTTCCCAGTGCTCCCAGAACCAGCTTCAAAAGCCTCTTCAAGACACCAGCACTCATCAGCTTGGAATCTCCTCTGTCTCCCAGCTCTGGTCCCTTCCTTCCAGCTTCCAGGTGATCATCACAAATTCTTCCCCGTGTTTGCACAGAAATAGGGGCGGTGGTTGATTCTTGTACCTACTGTTCCAAGGACACCTGGGGTCCTTTTGCTACTTTTCAGTGAATAAATCTTCATGTTAAATTATTTCCATTAAAATTACTGCTGTTGGGTTTCCCTAGTGGCTCAGTGGTAAAGAATCCACCTGCTAATGCAAGAGATGCAAGTTCGACCCTTGGGTCAGGAAGATCCCCTGGAGAAGGAAATGGCAACCCACTCCAGTATTCTTGCCTGGAGAATCCCATGGACAGAGGAGCCTGGCGGGCTACAGCTACACAACTTAGCGACTAAATCCCCACCAATATCAACTGTATAATATGCTGGACAGGACTATCCTTGTGGTCCAGTGGTTAAGAGTGCTCCTACCAATGCAGGGGACACAGGTTCAATCCCTGGTCTGGGAAGATCCCACATGCTGTGAGGCAGCTAAACACCTGAGCTACGACTACTGAGCCCGTGCCCTAGAGCCTGTGCCCATGAACAAGAGAAGCCACCACATCAAAACGAAGAGTAGCGCCCACTGGCTGCAACTAGTGAAAGCGTGCACACAACAAAGACCCAGCACAACCAAAAATAAAAACAAAAATTTTAAATGCTGGACGGAATAAGATCAATGCTTTCGGCAACCTTGCTTCCATTTCTTCAAGTAACATTGAGGTCCTGTTGTATGCTCACCCTCTGCTGTCAAAAACATTTTGTTTTTAATCGAACTCTAATATAAAGCAGAATAAAAAGCAGCAAATTGAGTACTCAAGATATTTTCCAACACTCTAAGTTTGCTATCATTAATGACACCACGAATATTGAAGAATTTTTGCATCTTTGAAGATACTTAATCAAATCTATTTGTGGGTTTAACACTATTTTAATATGAATACAATCCCCAATCCTTCTTTATTCTTCTTTGAAGATTTTTAATAGTGAAACATTCTACATACATGTAAATGTACAGCTTAATAAATTTCTATAAAATGAATATCTATGTAGCTAGCATTAAGTAAGGAAATATAATCTCAAATTGGCAACATGGTTGTCTGTGGAGGCCTTATAAATAGCTGAGAAAAGAAAAGAAGCAAAAGGTAAAGGAGAAAAGGAAAGAGATACCCATCTGAATGCAGAGTTCCAAAGAACAGCAAGGAGAAGTAAGAAAGAATTTTTAAGTGAACAATTCAAAGAAATAGAGAAACTATACTTAATATTTTATAATAACATATAATGGAAAATAATCTAAAAGAGACTATAAATGTCTATATATATGGAGATGTACAGATGTATATAAACATATATGATATATATGTGTGTGTGTGTGTATATATAACTGAACCACTTTGCTGTACACTTGAACACAACATTGTAAATCAACTAAACTTAAAAAGAATTCATTTTAAAAAAATGCCACTGTGGAGGGGTTCTCTGGTGGTCCGGTGGTTAAGAATTCACCTTGCAATACAAGGGACACGGGTTCGATGTCTGATCTGAGAAGATCCCACATGCTGCAGAACAACTAGGCCAGTGTGCTATAACTACTGGGCCGGCGGCGGCACTCTAGAGCCTGAGAGCCGAAACTTCTGAAGCCTTTGCGCCTAGAGCCTGTGCTCCGCCAAGAGAAGCCACAGCAATGAGAAGTCTGCACACCCGCAACAGAGTAGCCCCCTCTTATAGCAACTAGAGAATGCCCATGTGCAGCACAAAGACCCACCACAGCCAAAAAAATAAATAAGCAAGTCTTCTTTAAATGCCACTGTTAAAAAAAATTTTTTCCAAATCAGTCAGAGGCCTCTTTGTCAGCTCCAACTATATTTATTTCAATAAAATACAAGAATGTGGGAGGAAGGAAGTTACTTTAAGTTTTTGTAATGCAATTTGACCAGCAAATAATAAATCACTGTTGAACTAAAAGTCAAAGGTGACAGAAAATAGCTATTTTTTAAAATAATAATAGCATCAACCACAAGCATATGAAACAAAACGAGGATGTAACTTTTATCTAGTCAACCATACATTCCTAACTCATAATCAAATCAAACAAATCAAGCAGTGTTGTAGGGTTCAATTATTTTACCATAGTAAAGGTTATATTTCCCTTGTCAAAAAAAAATCTAACTCTAATAAAAAGCAGAATAAAAATAGCAAAATTGAGTACTAATGATGTTTTCCAATTCTCTGTGTTTCCTATCATTAATGAGCAACTGGTATTGAAGATTTCTTGTATCTTTGAAGACAGTTATCCAAATCTATTTGTGGTTTTAATTCTGTGTTAATATGAATATAATTCCCAACACTTCCTTTCTTCACTCTTCTTTGAAGATTTTTTTAAATAGTGAAATATTCTACACATACATGTGTATAGCTTAATGAATTGTTCTAAAATGAATATCTATATAACCAGCATTAAAAGTCAGAAAAAACAATCTGAAAGGCACTCTATCCCCAAGTCTCCACCCTGCCCTGCCCACCAGAACTGACCACAATCTTAAGTTTATAAGATTTACTTTTTTTTTTTTATAGTTTTCTTCACTAAGTATCCCTGGAGAAGGAAACGGCAATCCACTCCAGTAGTCTTGCCTGGAAAATTCCATGGACGGAGAAGCCTGGTGGGCTATAGTCCATGGGGTCGCAAAGAGTCAGACACTTTGTTTTCCTTCACTTTCTTTTTCTTTTCCACTAAGTATGTATCCATAAACATAATGCAGTTCAATTTTGTCTTTTAAAACTATTTATGTACAAAATCATACAATGTATTGGGGTGTTTTTTAACTCAATATTGTATTCTAATATGCCTCTGTTTTATTGCATGCAGTTGCATTTCATTAATTTTTGCTCTTGTATAGTATGTCAGTATACGAAATCAGTTCAGTTCAGTCGCTCAGTCGTGTCCAACTCTTTGCGACCCTATGAACTGCAGCATGCTGGGCCTCCCTGTCCATCACCAACCCCGAGAGTTTACTCAAGCTCATTTTCATTGAGTTGGTGATGCCATCTAACCATCTCATCCTCTGTCGTCCCCTTCCCCTCCCGCTTTCAATCTTTCCCAGCATCAAGGTCTTTTTCAATGAGTCAGTTCTTCATATCAAGTGGCCAAAGTATTGGAGTTTCAGCTTCAGCATCAGTCCTTCCAATGAATATTCAGGACTGATTTCAATTAGGATGGACTGGTTGGATCTCCTTGCTGTCCAAGGGACTCTCAAGAGTCTTCTCCAACACCACAGTTCAAAAGCATCAATTCTTTGGCGCTCAGCTTTCCTCACAGTCCAACTCTCACATTCATACATGACTACTGGAAAAACCACAGGTTTGATTAGACAGACCTTTGCTGGCAAAATAATGTCTCTGCTGTCTAGGTTGGTCATAACTTTTCTTCTAAGGAGCAAGCCTCTTTTAATGTCATGGCTGCAGTCACCATCTGCAATGATTTGGGAAATACTACACTTAAATTAACTATTCAACTGTTGATGGACATTTCAGTTATTTCCAGTTTGGGTGCACATAAGCATACACAGGTGGGGGGTAAACACCTAAAAAATGAAATTGCTGAATCACAGGGTGTACACATCCAAGCTAATGTGAAGCCATTTTCCAAATTATCTGCACGAACTCACACTCCCGTCTGCAGTATATGAGGGATCTTTGCCCTACCATCCTTCCCAACCCTGGGTGCTGTCAAGGGTGTTTGCCCACGTGGTGAGTGTGGATGGTATCCACAGTGGCTTTACTTTATCCTCTTCTGATTATTAACCTTTTCCATCCACAACACAAAGTTATTGGCCACTGGATTTCTTCTGTGAAATTTCTGTTAAGTCATCTGCCCATTTTTAAGTGGATTCTTTGCTTTCTTAATTTACAGGAGTTCTTTACATATCCCCTTCTCATTCGGTGACCTGTCTTTCCTTGCTTTTCAACTTTGGAAAAGCCAGTATGGGCTGCGAGCGGCTTCATTGGAGCTCCCGGGATCCTGGGAGCTGTGCCCTAGACGCGGTCATCACAACGCTTCCCACCCTTTCCACCTGGACTGACTAGACGCGGCGCTGTGGAACGCGGATGCCGGGATGGATAGCACAGGCCCCGCCCTCTCGCTGAGGCCCCGCCCACAGCCGGGCGGCCTGAGTCGCGCGGGGCTGATTCTGTTGGCCCCGGTCTCCAGGGCAGCGCTGGGAGACGCAGGGCGGGACAAGGAGGCGCTAGCACTGAGGATGCGGGGCCTCCAGGGTCGCGGCAGCCAGGAACGCCCGGCAGGTGACAGGCATTTGCCTCCCAAACAGGGTGTGCGGTGCGCCCGAGCAGGGATTGGGGTGGACGGTGGGACCGTGGATGGGGACAGGAGAAAACCTCTCGAGGAAAGTGGTCCAGGTGGGGAGAAAAAGGAGCCCACAGCGGGAGCACTTCGGACCCAGATGGGAAGGACAGACGGTGGCCGAGGCGGGGACGGAGCCCAGGGGCCGGTGCTCGGGATCTGGAAAGACTTTGGCGCCCAGACTCCCAGAACAGCCCTATCCTGGGTTGATCAGGCCGGTCCGGGGCATCAGACACACCAGATCACCCATCACTTCCTGGGCCTTAAAATGCCCCTGGCTGCAGAGTCTTGTCCATCAGAGAATAGGCGGAGGGAGGAAATAAACGCCACGCCCCTTTGGGCAGCTTAGGACTTGTTCCAAAACAGCGTAACTTTTCCTCTGCAGTCGTCTTGGTGGATGAACCCTTAAAGCAGGGCTACATTTCACAGAAGAAAATGTGTTCTTCCCAGTACTAATGTAGTGGGCTGGGCCCAAGGATCTTGACGGGACCCCTTGGGAATGAGCGGTTTCTTGGTGCCACTGGTTTATCCCTGTCTGTCTTATTTACTTAGGAGATGTGTAAGCCTGTCTTTGTCTGAAATTTCAGTGAAAAACTTTGTGCCAGTAGGGAGCCACATTCACTGCATTTAGAAGTCCCACTTGCTAATTTTTTTTTTTTCAGTCATAAGCTTTTCCTTTTTTAATCCCATGCTTTTATAAAATCACACCTCCACAGATGACCCAACTTGGATGGTATCTGGCTTTGCTCCCTTCATTATCTCCCAAACATCAACAACAAAAATTCTGTCTTTTTCTATGAACATTTTTAATTGATTAACTCCAAGAAACCCTAGTCTATGTCATTTAAGAAACGAAGAGAAATAGAAGGGACTGAATTATTTCATGCAGGAGCAGTTCCAAATTGAAATATAATGATTATTTCAAGCTTTTTTAAGATCCCAAGTACAGTGACTTGAACTCTTAAAGATGTATTATTACAAACTGTTTTGGTTAAAATGTGTTAGAATTTGAGGGATCTGCTGCTTTCTAAAAATATCTTAAAAGCAAAGGTTGATCCATTTATCAAAATTAAAATAATATGGTAGAATGAAATATATATTTTTAAAATAAGGCAATTAATACAAACAGTTTGACAAATAATATGTTAGTCTACCAAGAGGGGGGAACTTTAAGTTAAAAATAAAACCATAGATATTTAAATATCATATGTATTTCAATATGAATGTTACCTTTGGTCTCTCTTGTTTGTTAAGGTGCTTTCCTCCAAGGAGTTGAGGATGTTCCATAGAAACGTTAGCAACAAGGTCAACTGGGACTAAAAAGAAGGTCGTGTTATTTAATTAAAGAAAGGATTTGCCAAAAGAATAGGAGTAGACCATTAAAACAAATTTTACAGTAATCTCTGATCAGAAAGGTTGTTTCTGTTATCTGACCTACAGGGGAAAAAATGGCATAAAGGCAGTGAGATAGAAGACAGAGCAAACAGAAATGCCAGCTAGAGATGAAAGGAAGCACAATTCAAAAACATCATTTCCTTTCAATTGTATCTGAACTCAAAGCACCCTTTCCGTAAACCATCTCATGGGTCTTTATGACAGCCCTTTGAGACAGGGAGGGCTCACTTGGAATCATACTCTTAAGTGAGTTAGAAGGGACCCCAGCTGTTATTCAGGCCAATCTTCCACCCAGCCAACATTCCCCAGGACAGCATCCCTTTCAGGTCCATGTGGATACCCAGCCTTTGCTTTGAATCACTGAATGGCAGAATTCACAAGGCCATCAAATCTTTTGTTGAACAGTTTTGATCATTATTATGGGCTTTTTATTAATACTGAGCTGAAGTTGATCTCCATGTTGCTGCTGCTGCTGCTAAGTTACTTCAGTTGTGTCCGACTCTGTGCGACCCTGTAGACGGCAGCCCACCAGGCTCCACCATCCCTTGGATTCTCCAGGCAAGAACACTGGAGTGGGTTGCCCTTTCCTTCTCCAATGCATGAAAGTGAAAAGTAAAAGTGAAGTTGCTCAGGCGTGTCCGACTCTTCACGACCCCATGGACCGCAGCCTACCAGGCTCCTCCGTCCATGGGATTGTCCAGGCAAGAGTACTCGAGTGGGCTGCCATTGCCTTCTCCAGGTTACACCCACCTAAATTATATATTCCTACCTGGTAGCAACCTGGATATCAAAGTCTTTCAAATGAAAAGTCAGCCAGTATAGGTGTAGGAACAAACTAGCTTCCATCATCTTTTCAGTTCCAACTGTGGAAACCATACTGTCTCCCCCTCCTTTATTTTCCAAAAGGCAGACCCTGAACCTGTTTAACTCTGTCCATAAATACTACTGAACACAGCATATATATATATATATCAGTACCCTGGATATTGGAAATAAGACATTGAAGTACTATCTGTAATTACCCATTTGGCTTTGTCCAATCTTATCTGTAACAGGCCCTTGGAAGCTAGAAAAAGGATTCCAGTCATTTGATTTCCTCAATAAAGCAGCATTTGATTACTTAGACTGTTTATGAGCTCTGCAGCAGAAGTGTTCCTGTAAATGGAAAAACACAATAGTTTTTCCAGTAGACCTTTCTCATACTTAGAAAAGGTTACAAAAGCCTGCAGATAATATAATGAGGTTCTCTTATTTAATTTTTTATTAATATTGGAATTAGAGATTTTAATTGTCACAGAATAACATAAATATAATTTTTTTAGGCAAATGCTTTTGTGAACCACAACTTTAAATATCCAGTCAGCTGCTGTCATCCACAAGAGAGAATCCCTGTTCATTTTTATATTTTTCTCAAGATGAGTCATAGTAAATTCATTCCCAAGCTGTCTATTCAATCTCCTGTCCACACCAACTTAAAGGTCCAGTCCACAAAGCCATCATTTAAGAAGGAAGACTTACATTTGATTTCAAAAGACTCTTTGGAATCTGACTCAGAAAGCCCCACTCAAAAGATCAAGTCCTGGTCTGAGCTTGAAGATCAAATTCAGGACAATGACATGGAGCCTGACAGCCTAGAGGAGGAGAACTTGAGTGAGACGGAAGAGGAAGCAAGCAGAAAAGCAGCGCAGAGGGCCTGCGAGGAAAACCTCCACACCCAAGATGCTGGTGCAATTAATAGGTAAGGAATTGGCTTGTGTAAGAAAACAGTGGGTTCTGACATGCACTGTTACGTAATTACTGGTACTGTCTCAAGTGAAAGTAAGGACAGACTCTTGTTTGGGGATTTTTTTACTTTATAGTGGATATAATTGATTTACAATGTTATATTACTTTCAGGTATGCAAAGTGATTCAGTTATAGGTATACATATATCTAATTCTTTTTTCATTCTTTTCCCATTCCTATCTTTTTTCAATATTACCAAATATTGAATAGAACTGCCTGTACTATATACAGTAGGTTCCTTGTTGATTATCTATTTTATTTATAGTAGTGTGTACATGTTAATCACAAACTCTTCCTTTATCCCCCCCTCCAACAGCCTTTCCCCTTTGGCAACCAGAAGTTCATTTTCTAAGCCTGTGAGTCTGTTTCTGAACAGGCTCTTGTAACAAGCTCCTTTGTAATGTGTGTGAGACAGATCTCCAAGCAGTTAAGGGCAGCTTGGAGCCAAGATTGTTGATAAGAATAGTTATTAACGATAAGGACATTTGTATTTCTTATGCTCCTTACTTCCTGTCCATATTCCAAGTGTCTCTACTGCTATGACCTCACCTTGCAGAAATCCCAGAAAGCCTGATCTAGAAAAGTGCCATGATCATGGACTTAGGTGTTCTTGAGTTAGTCGAGGCAATGGTGTTTAGTGTATAATTTGAAATAAGTCCCGTTCAGTCTCTTGCAGTTTATTTTTTCTCTCCTGTGAAATGAGCCAGCCTGCTTCTCTCACAAGACTGCCATCACTGTCAGTGAGGTACATTGTTGGGGGGGACTTGAGACCTCTACCTGAGCCAGGAGAGGTCTACCTTCCTGGGCTTATATAATCACAGAGATTTAGTTTCTATAATCATCAGTATTTATGGTGTATTCACTTTATGCCAGAAGCTACCAAAACATCTAAGAAGATATAAATGAGTGCAATATTATTCAGTTTTAATGAAAATATAAATGGCACACTAGAGTACTTAAGTTCACAGCTATTGATTAGAAAGGGGTCTTGGGATGGTGGTAAGTTACAATGATCTGAAGCAAACCAAGTGGTTTCAGATTCTGCCACTGACTAGTTGTGTGACCTTGGCCAAGCCCATTTAAACTCTCTGTGCCTCAGCTCCTCATCAGTAAAAATGGGATAATAATAGTAGTTATCTCACAGTTTATTGTGAGGCTAAATCAGTTTGTGTGTGTGTGTGTGTGTGTATATATACATATATAAAGTGCTTCATATATATATAAAGTGCTTCAAACAGTGACTCTTAAGTTATGTATGTGTTAGATTAAAAAAAAAAACACTCTACCATGTTCTTTTTTTTTTTCCAATAAACCAAAGCTGAAGGGTTGAGGAGGAGCAATGATATAAAGTTAGAAGTAGGGCTTAATTTTGTTAGCCAAGTAATAAGAGTGCATGGGATTGTAGAAAATAATGCCTTACCTTATTCTATTAAGTTTAAGGAAACAATTTTTACTAATGTGCAATATAAACTGCTTTATTTTTTTGAATTGGAATATAGCTGCTTTACAATGTTGTATTAATTTCTCTGTACAACAAAGTGAATCAGCTATGTATACAGACATCCCCTCCTTCCCAGACCTTCTTTGTGTTAGATGTTTTTTAAATTAGGGTTAAAATAAATTGAGGAAAGTTTATTGGAAGGCTTAGAACTTGGGCAGGCAGGGTTTTGGAAACTAGGCAAGATTTGGGAAAAAAGAACAGAATTAACATGAGTGTGTGTGGCCCACTGAGCCCCATTTGATGACAGAGGATGGTTTTTGAATGTAGGGAAATTAGAGGAGGGGCCTGCTTACAAGGGCCCCTGTGGATACCACCAGCCCATGCCACGGATATGACACTGAACACAAAACTCAAATGATGTTTCCCAAGGATACACTCCTGGCGCAGGCTTTCATGAGAGCCCAGCCCTAAGTCTTTTCCCCCTTTCTTCTTTCTCTTTCACTGAAGATACTTTGTTGAATCGAGCTTGTCTGCTTCTTAGGGGCTGTCGGAGTAGCGTAAGTCCCCTACATACGAACCTTCAAGTCATGCACTTTCAAAGATATGAACATATTATAAACCCTAATAGTACAATACTATAAAGACCATTTTGTTAGTTGGGTACCGAGGGTAACTTTGTTAGACTTACAAATAAATTGGACTTAACTAACTGACTCTTCGAATGGAACTCATTCGTATGTAGGAGACTTACTGACAAATGATAAATGCTATAACTGAGGTGCAGCCACAGAGTTAGGGGGTGAAAGAGGGGCTTAGGAAGGCTTTAACCAGCTCGTCACCCCCGACTGAATGGGGTTGGGTACACCCAGAGGAGAAAACGCAGGTTCTTGGGGAGGACAGTGAGATGAAGCAGTATTCAAGGAAGATTATTCTGCAAGCTGGTGCATTATGAATTAGACGGTAAAAACACAGCAAAGAGACCACCAGATGGTAATAATTATAATGACAACAGTAATAATAATGTCATCTCTTTTGAAAGGCCATTGTAACTTCACTTAATTCTTCACTGCAATCCCACAAGAAAGTGCTGCTAGTCCCATTTTACAGGTCAGGAAAATGAAGCTGACAGAGATGAAGTCACCTAACATCAGAGTGCTTTGTTACTGATGTTGAGGGTTTCTTTTTTTTAAAAAAATACTTTATTTATTTATTTACTTTGGCCATGCAGTGCAGCCTGCAGGATCTTAGTTCCCCAACCAGGGATTGAACCCAGGCCACAGCAGTGAAAGCACCAAGTCCTAACCACTGGACCACCAGGGAATTCCCTGAGGTTTTTAATTAAGAAAAAACTCTAACCCACAGAAAAGTACAGAGAAAAATACCATCTCACCCTTATTGCTGTATTTGTTTCAGATATATTTTTTAAAACATAAAATGTTGCAGATAGTTTCCTTGTTCCCTTTCTCACACCCGTCTTCCTCCTCAGAGATAACCAACACATACTTTTTTTTCCGGCCTTGCTGCGCAGCCTGTGGGATCTCAGTTTCCTGACCAGGGACAAGACCCTCATGGTGGAAGCATGGAGTCTTAACCACTGGACCACCAGGGAAGTTCCAACCAATACATACTCTTATATGAGTGTATTTCCTTCATAGCAATTTTTTATTCATTTCCTTCACAGCTAATGAGTAGAGACATATGCATATAAAGAATTGCTAGGACTTGGTGACAATTTAGAACTGGGGTTGGAAAGAATAAGAGAAGGCAAAGATTACTTTAAGATTCTGACAACAAAGCATTGACAGAATACTTGTCCCAAGCCGTCCCTGTCAGACACTTGACATATATCATCTTATTTAATCCTTATGGCAGCCCCAACAGGTGGACACTATCATGATCCCATCTTAGAGACTGCAAATGAGGCTTACAGAAGCTGGTTATTTATTTCACCAGGGGCATGGTGGAGCAGCAAACTCCTGCAGTCTGACTTTATGCTTTAAACCATGTTTTTATTGTAGCACTAATCTAAGAGAGTCATAGTCTCCTAGGTAATAAATGGTAGTTTTATTTATAGAAACAGGGCATCAGGAAGGATAGGTATTCTTGTACTTTTATGAGGAAGAAACCAAGGTAAGGATCCATTATGTGACCTCATTTCCCCGATGTTGAGTTTTTCCTCTTTGAACGGTGCTCAGAGACCTGACTTTAACCTTGCTTTTTACCCAAGGACAATGTAAATACTATTCAATGCATTTTTTAAATTTATTTCTTCATTGAAGGATAATTGCTTTACAGAATTTTGTTGTTTTCTGTCAAACCACAACATGAATCAGCCATAGGTATACATATATCCCCTCCCTTCTGAACCTCCCTCTCATTTCCCTCCCCTTCCCACCCCTCTAGGTTGATACAGAGCCCCTGTTTGAGTTTCCTGAGCCATACAGCAAATCCCCGTTGGCTATCTATTTTACATATGGTAGTGTTACGGTCTCCATACATCTCACCCTCTCCTCCCCCTCCCCCTGTCCGTAAGTCCATTCTCTATGTCTGTTTCTCCATTGCTGCCCTATAAATAAATTCTTCAGTACCATTTTTCTAGATTCTGTATATATGCATTAGAATATATTTATCTTTCTCTTTCTGACTCACTTCACTCTGTATAATAAGTTCTAAGTTCATCCACCTTATTAGAACTGACTCAAATGCATTCCTTTTTATGGCTGAGTAATATTCCATTGTGTATATGTACCACAACTTCTTTATCCATTCATCTGTCGATGGACATCTAGGTTACTTCCAGGTTGCTTCCATGTTCTAGCTATCATAAATAGTGCTACAATGAACAATTGGATACATATGTCTGTTTCAATTTTGGTTTCCTCAGGATATATGCCTAGGGGTGGGATTGCTGGGTCACATGGTGGTTTTATTCCGAGTGTTTTAAGGAATCTCCATACCGTCTTCCACAGTGGCTGTATCAGTTTACATTCCCTCCAACAGTGCAAGAGCGTTCCCTCTTCTCCACACTCTCTCCACCATTTATTGTTTGTAGACTTTTTGATGATGGTCATTCTGACCGGTGTAAGGTAGTATCTCATTGTAGTTTTGATTTGCATTTCTCTAATAATGAGTGATGTTGAGCATCTTTTCATGTGTTTGTTAGCCATCTGTATGTCTTCTTTGGAGATATGTCTGTTTAGATCTTTTTCCCACTTTTTGATTGGGTTGTTTGTTTTTCTGGCATTGAGTTGTATGAGCTGCTTGTATATTTTGGAAATTAATCTTTTGTCAGTTATTTTATTTGCTATTATTTTCTCTCATTCTGAGAGTTGTCTTTTTCACCTTGCTTATAGTTCTCTTTGCTGTGCAAAAGCTTTTAAGTTTAATCAGGTCCCACTTGTTTACTTTTGTTTTTATTTCCATTACTCTAGGAGGTGGGTCATAGAGGATCTTGCTTTGATTTATGTCATCAAATGTTCTGCCTATGTTTTCTTCTAAGAGTTTTATAGTTT